CATGGAACACTACATCAAAAACTGATGATGTGATGTATGGCGATTAACATAACATAATAATAAAAAAAATAAAAAAAAAGAAGAAGACAGCAGAAAAGGAAAAATGAAGGGGGGGAATCAGAGGGGGCGATGAACCATGAGAGACTATTGACTCTGAGAAACAAACTGAGGGCTCTAGAGGGGAGGGGGTTGGGGGATGGGTTAGCCTTGTGATGGGTATTAAAGAGGGCATGTACTAAATGGAGATCTGGGGGTTATACACAAACAATGAATCATGGAACACTACATTAAAAACTACATAACATAATAAAAAAAAAAGAATGAAGGATAAAATCACAACACTATCAGATGAAGTAAATCCAAGAATTTTATGCTAGGAAAACTATTCCTTAAAAAATGGCTAAAGAGGGCGCCTGGGTGGCTCAGTTGGTTAAGCGACTGCCTTCGGCTCAGGTCATGATCCTGGAGTCCCGGGATCGAGTCCCACATCGGGCTCCCTGCTCAGCAGGGAGTCTGCTTCTCCCTCTGACCCTCTTCCCTCTCGTGCTGTCTCTCATTCTCTCTCTCAAATAAATAAATAAAATCTTAAAAAAAAAAATGGCTAAAGAGGGCGTTTGGGTGGCTCAGATGGTTAAGCGTCTGCCTTTGGCTCAGGTCATGATCTCGGGGTCCTGGGATCAAGTCCCGCATCGGGCTCCCTGCTTAGCGGGGAGCCTGCTTCTCCCTCTGCCTGCCACTCCCCCTGCTTGTACTCTCCCTCTCTCTCTCTCTGGCAAATAAATAAAATCTTTTTAAAAATAAAATAAAATAAAATAAAATAAAATAAAATAAAATAAAATAAAATAAAATATGGCTAAAGAGCGGTGCCTGGGTGGCTCAGTTGGTTAAAGGGCTGCCTTTGGCTCAGGTCGTGATCCCAGGGTCCTGGGACCAAGCCCCACATCGGGCTTCCTGCTCAGCAGGAATTCTGCTTCTCCCTCTGCCCCTCCCCCTACTCATGCTCTCTCTCTCTCTTTTTTTTTTTTTGGTACCAAATTACTTTATTTGAAGAATGGTACCAATGAAAGAAGTTAAGTAGATGTTTTGATACAACTTATAGAAAAGGTAAAGGTAACCCCAACATGCATGCACTGCCTTGGTGACCAGGGAAGTCACCCTTGTGGCTATGGGAAGACAGCCTAAGGCTTAGCTTTCACTATCACTGTTTCCCAAGGTGTGCTTGTCAAAGAGATACTCCGCCATGCCAGATTCGGGAGCCCCCATCTTGCGCAGGTTGGTTACGTGGTCACCCAATTCTTTGATGGATTTCACCTGCTCATTCAGGTAATGAGTCTCAATGAAGTCACACAAATGGGGGTCACTTTTATCAGTGGCCAGTTTGTGCAGTTCCAGTAGTGACTGATTCACACTCTTTTCCAAATGTAATGCACACTCCATTGCATTCAGCCCGTTCTCCCAATCATCACGGTCTGGTTTCTTGATATCCTGAAGGAAGATTCGGCCACCTCGTTGGTTCTGCAGCTTCATCAGTTTCTCATCATGCTCTCTCTCTTAAATAAATAAAATCTTAAAAGAAAGTAAAAATAAAAAATGGCTAAAGAAAGTCTCTAAAAGAAAGGCTTTGAAATTCAGAAAGGAAGGATCATCAAAATAGGTAAAATTAGGGGTAGATACATAAGACTATTCAAGCTTTTATGAATTTCTTAAATTATATTTGATTGTTGAAGCAAAAGTTATAATACCACCTCATGGGGTGTTTGAAATATAAGGAGGAAATACAACATTTATATTTAAAAAGTGTGTGTGAAGGTAAAGAGACCTAAATAGAAGTAAGGTTTCTATACTTCACTAGAAAGCATTAAATGTCAATATTAGTACACTATAATAAGTTCATATATATATTGGAACACCTAAAGCAATGGCTAGGAAAGTTATATGAAGCTATATACTCAGAAAACTCTAAGTAAATCAAGGTAGAATCTTAATAAATGTTCAAGTAACTCACATTAAGGTAAGAAAAGTGAAATGGGAACAAGAAACATGTGAAGCAAACAGAAGCAAATAATAAAATGGTAGCACCAGTCCTAATATATCAGAATTATGTTAAGTGTAAATAGTTTAAATGCACTCATTAAAAGAAAGAGACGATTCTGGGAAAGCTGGCAGAGTAGGGGGACCTTAAACTCACCTTGTCCCATGAATACAACTAGATAACATTCACATCAGTGTAAATAAACCAAAAAATGACCCAAAGACTGGCAAAACAGACTCTCCACAGCTAAATATAGAGAAGCGGCCACATGGAAGAAGGGAGGAGAAGCACAGTCAGGAGCTAAATGGACCACAGGACTGTCCCTGGGAGGGAGAGATGCTGCAGACGCCAAGAGGGGAAAGAAACAGGTGCTCACATCAGGGAGCCCACATGAGAAAGATGAATTTCCCAATTTCTTAAAATCCACTAAAATCTTGAACTTTAAAAATCAGTGGGTTTGGCTCTGGGAGAGCTGGGAGGGTGAGAGGAAACTGAGTCTCCACCCTTAAAGAGATAGCACAACAAAGACCCCACAGAGATATAGCCTAGAAGCAGCAGTTTGAAAATGATATGATAGGGGGATTTCTTTACTCATCTCAGAACATGTGCTGGAGGGTTAGGGATCTTTGGGAGACCTCCAGAACAAAGGAGCCGACAGGCACCATTTCCCTACCCTGCCCCCCAGCATAAACACACTGCCACTTGCAGCACTCAGTTCAGTGCTGACATTACCTAACTTGCTAACAGTGTGCCCTGCCCTGTGTTCCTTCAGACACAGCCCCTTCAGCTAGGCTTAAGCTCCAGTTCTCCTCCCACAGCAGATCTGCACAAACCTTGCTAACACTGAGCATGCAGCCCTCCCTCCACATTCTTCCCTCCTCCCACTCCTCACTTCAGTAGATCTGCCCCCTCTAATATGCTCTTGGAGCCCATCCAAAGTGGTACTGCAAACCTGGCAATGTGCTAGTAGCCTGTACAGGGGCCAGTACCCTCTGAAGTGACTCCTACTCCAGAGAGACGGAAAGATAACCACATGCAACACTCAGACTGCAGCCCAAGCAGTGGACAGGGAGCAGACATTTGGTCTGACTGCAGGCCCCGCCCACCAATGAAAACTTCTCGGAAGACAACATAGGGAATGTATAATTTGAGGCTACTTCATCTTTGGCAAATGCCTGGTCTGACTCAACTGAAGCCCAAGGTGGCCCCAGACTGGTCCACTAATGACACACAGACAAAACCCTTCCCACAACAGGTGGAGAACCATTGCAGATGACCAGACTTAAGGCAAAAGCAGCTCAGCCACAATAGCAGGGTGCACAGAACACACATAGGAGACACCCTTGAAGTGCCAGGTTCTGGCAACCAGGGGACACTGCACTGCAGGGTGTTACAGAACCTCCTCTTCATAAGACCACTACTTTCTCAAGTAGGAGACATAGCTAACTTTCCTAGCACATACAAACAGACACAGAGTTAGACAAAATGAGGAGACAGAGGAATATGTCTCAAATTAGAGAACAGGACAAAATCACAGCAGGAGACCTAAATGAAATGGAGATAAGTAATATGCCTGATAGAGAATTCAAAGTAATGGTTGTAGAGATACTCACTAGACTTTAGAAAAGAGTGGAAGACCTCAGTGAGACCCTCAACAAAGAGATAGAAAACATAAAGATCCAATCAGAGATAAAGAACTCAGGAACAAATTAAAAATACACCACATTCAATCCATAACAGACTGGAGGAAGGAGAAGAACAGATCAGTGAACTGCAGGACAGAGTAATGGAAAGAAATCAAACTGATCAGGTGAGGAAAAAAATAATAAATCAAATTAGATTCAGGGAACTCTGACACTATCAAGTGGAAAAACATTCACATTAGAGGAATCCCAGAAGTGAGAGAAAAGGGGGTAGAAAATTTACGTGAAGAAATAATTGTTGACAAATTACTGATCTGGAAAAGGAAATGGAAATCCAGATTCAAAAGGCACAGAAAGCCCCCAACAAAACTGACTCAAGGAGGTTCACACCAAGACACAAAGTAATTAAAATGGCTAAAAGTAGTGATAAAGAGAGAATTTTAAAATTAGAGTAGGCACCCAAGCCCGTGGCTGCTCGAAGTCATAAGGACAGGGAGCTCAGTGACGCTTGTGGGCCCAGGGGAAACCCCTTGGAGAATTGAAGTGGGCATGAACTGCAGGAATCTATGGAGTTTAATGCACAAAGAGGTGGAGATGGTTTGATCTGGAGGGTCTATTGAAGAAGGAGGGCCAGGACCTTGCGGCTCTGGGCTGAAGATCCCAGAGTGGCCATATTTGTTCTGACCCTCTGAAGATGCCCAGAAAGCTTCCAGGAAACAAAAACCACACTGACGAAACTCACTTTAAGCCCATTCCCCTGACAAGGGCTTGGGGGGGGGAAGGGGCGGGCAACTCCACCCAGGCAAAGACACCTGAGAATCAGTGCAACAGGCCCCTCCCCCAGAAGACAGATTTGAAGAACAGGTGAATGACAAGCTTATAGATTCCGCAGGACTGTAAAACTCCAGCACCCAGGGGAAAATAATATATTGAGTTCCAGGTATTTTCTCACAACTCGTTTATCTTTCAGGCTAAAATTTTACATTATTTTTTTTTCTTTTTTACCTTTTTCCCATTTCAAATAGATTCTTATTTTCCAATTTATGTTTTATTTTTTCTTTTCTTATTTTTTAAAATTTTTTAAAAGTTTATTATAATTGACACACAATGTTACATTAGTTTCAGGTGTAAAACATAGTAATTTAACTTCTCTACATTATGCTCTGCCTGCCACAGGTGTAGCCAGTCATCTGTCACCAAACAATGCTATTACAATATCATTGACCATATTCCTTATGCTGTGCTTTCTATTGTCAAAGATTATTTGACCACAGAGTTGAGGGTCCATATCTGGGCTCTCTATTTTGTTCCTTTGGTCTATATGTCTGTTTTTGTGCCAGTACCATGTTGTCTTGGTGATCACTGCTTTGTAATATAGCTTGAAATCAGGCAACGTGATGCTCCCAGCTTTGTTTTTCTTTTTCAACATTTCCTTGGCAATTCGGGGTCTTTTCTGATTCCATACAAATTTTAGAATTGTTTGTTCTAGCAATTTGAAAAGAGTCATTAGAATTTTGATTGGGATGGCGTTGAAGGTATAGATTGCTCTGGGCAGCATAGACATTTTAACAATGTTTATTCTTTCGATCCATGAGCATGGAATGTTTTTCCATCTTTTTGTTTATTCTTCAATTTCTTTCATGAGTGTTCTGTACTTCCTAGAGTATAGATCATTTACCGCTTTGGTTAGGTTTATTCCGAGGTATCTTATGGTTTTTGGAGCTATTGTAAGTGGAATCGTTTCTCTAATTTCTTTTTCTAAAGTTGCATTGAGAGTGTATAAGAAAGCAACTGATTTATGTGCATTGACTTTGTACCCTGCCACATTACTGAATTGCTGTATGAGTTCTAGTAATTTGGGGGTGGAGTCTTTTGTGTTTTCCACATAAAGTATCATATCATCTGTGAAGAGTTTGATTTCTTCTTTGCCAATTTGAATACTTTTATTTCTTTTTGTTGTCTGCTGTGGCTAAGACTTCTAGTACTATGTTGAATAATAGTGTCAAGAGTGGGCATCCTTCTCGTGTTCCTTATCTTAAGGGAAAGGCTCTCAGCTTTTCCCCATTGAGGATGATATTTGCTGTGGGTTTTTCATAGATGGAATAGAGGGAACTTAAGAAATGTTCCCTCTATCCCTATACTCTGAAGAGTTTTAATCAGGAAAGGATGCTGTCTTTTGTCAAATGCTTTTTCTGCATCAATTGAGAGGACCATATCGTTCTTCTCTCTCCTCTTATTAATGTGTTCTATCACATTGATTGATTTGCGAATGTTGAACCACCCTTGCAACCTCAGGATAAATCCCACTTGGTCGTGGTTGATGATCCTTTTAATGTATTGTTGGATACTATTAGCTAGGATTTTGTTGAGAATTTTGGAATCCATATTCATCAGGGATATCAGTCTGAAATTCTCCTTTTTGTTGGGGTCTTTGCCTGGTTTGTGGATTAAGGTAATGCTGGCCTCATAGAATGAGTCTGGAAGCTTTCCTTCTGTTTCCATTTTTGAAACAGCTTCAGGAGAATAGGTATTATTTCTACTTTGAATGTTTGGTAGAATTACCCAGGGAATCCATCAGGCCTTAGACTCTTGTTTTTTGGGGGGCTTTTGATCACTGCTTCAATCTCGATCCTGGTTATTGACCTATTCAGGTTGTCAATTTCTTCCTGTTTCAGTCTTGGTAGTTTATAGGTTTCCAGGAAGGCATCCAGGTCTTCCAGGTTGCTCAGGTTATTGGCATATAGTTGATAGTAATTTCTAGTAGTTTTTTAAATTTCCTTGGTGTTAGTTGTGATCTCTCCCCCTTCATTCATAATTTTATTAATTTGAGTCATTTCTCTTTTCTTTCGGATAAGTCTGGCCAGTGGTTTATC